AAAAAAAAAAAAATTTCATCTGAACTGCTCATTCCAATATCAATTTTTGCCGAACACTGTAATTCACATACCTTTGGCCGTTAATATCATCGTTAATATTACTAAGCTTATTAACTATAGTCCATTGAACATTTGCTAAGTTTTAAACGCTAAAAAACATTTTCTTTCTTTTTCATTATTATAAAAACCATAAAAAGTTAAAAAGTGTAAAAATTGTTCTATACAGACACAAAAAAAACGAATTATCTAATATATTTTTTAACAAAGGAAATGAAATATTAAACCTCAAACTTATTAATCGTTTAATTTTTCTAATTTCTTAACAAAATTTTCTTTATTACCGTTCTTTGACTTTGATGCAAAAAAAAAATACTGTTAACATCAACAAAAAAATTGACATTTTTTTGATTGAAATATTTTGTTGTTTGAGTTTTCGGTGTTTTAAAGGTTAAGAAAATATTGGTTCAAAGCTGTCGTTTGATCGGCTGCTGAACAAATGATCAAATTTCTGCAGAACAATTTTTCTTTTTCACCTGAAAAGTAACAACAGTTAAACTGAAGAAAAGTGTGTTTATTTGATACAATTTTATTCAAGAACCTTTTTTCCCCCCACTGATCCAAATAAATAAAGGTGATCTTTTCTTTTTGAGTTCAAAGCCTTGTTGAAAATTGACACCAAATCCCTTCAGCGCAGATACTCCACAGAAACAACAACAACAACCACAACAAAAATAACAGAAAAAAAAAAAGAAGCCTCTATTTCCTGTAAGGCCAATATCAGTCACCAACACCTTTTTTTTTCCTTTTTCGGGGACAATGATTCAACTCACTTTGCATAGAATTGCCACTAAGTAGGAAAGAAAAATAATACCTAACAGACATCAACAACTACAAACAACAGTAAAGACAGTACATCAACGTTCTGCTATAAACAGTTGTAAACTAAATGTATTATACAAGTGGCTTCCAAAAAAAAAAAATGAAGTCTAAACACATTTGCAAATCCTCTGTTATTCAAAACAGTACTGCACAAAAAAAAGACAAAAGTTTAAAAAGTATGTTCTAATAGAA